ATTTACAAATCAGCACTGGGGCCAAAGGCTAATTATTTGATCAGAGCAATGCCTCATGTTTCATGTCATAAATAAACCAAACATTTTCATTTAAAATGAAATTTCCTGAGCATTTTAATGCTGTCAGTTAAATACAAATTTAAGAAATGAAGGAGGGTCCCGACCGGAAACATCAGCTTTCCTGTTCCTCTGATGCTGCCTGGCCTGCTGTGTTCCTCCAGCTCCACTCTGTGTTATCTCTTACTTAAGAAATAGAGGCCTTCTTTTAAATACAGACATTAAGCCCCAACATGAAAATATTAGACTTTTGAGCTTCAAAAGGACAGACGCTACAGAAAAGGAACACAAAATTAAACATTGGAATGCAAAGTCTCCACAATTTTTAAGGAGAAACTATTTTGTGCAATAGAAATTCCTCGAGTACTATTGTGCAAGCATTGCAACAGCTGACTAACGAGATCTAGGGTGACAGTGCGAGAAAATATTTTCCCCATAGGTGTTAAGCAAGATTTCAAACTTTTGGTTTAGCTGACATCATGATTAGGCAGCACTTCTGTCAAATTTCATGTCATAAAATCCATATCGTTTTAATGACTATTTAGTAGATGTCTCTTTAAATTTGTTTCATTATGTGCTTTGTGCCTTTGGATTAGGGTGAACTACAAATTCTGTGCAGGGCGAAGATGGCTGCATGGGGGAGAAAATAGTTGCCAAACGGTGCAGAAAAAGTCTGCAGAAATATATGGAAACCATTTAACAGACTGTTTCCTTTGCTCTGAAGGACTATAAAGAGTACAAATAAGTCTTGCAACAGATCATAATCAACCTTAATTTAAGATTCTGTTCCAACTATAGAAAATAAATGCATACTGGTTTTCAACTTGTCATCTGAAAGCTACATCAAGTTTATAGCTCATTGGCTCTTCTAGGTTCACAGAAATAGAAGCTGAAGACTTCGCAGACCTAACCTTGCGTCCAAATTATGAATACTGGTGCAGTTTTATTAAGACTAATAAACTTAATCCAGTGTCAAGTCTTATTAATTGTAGCCAAGGAAAAATGAAGGTCCTGCAATCAACTAAAATACACTGGATTTGTATTCTGGTTCAGTTTCCTTTTCACTTTTAATAAAACTGGATTTGCAGTGTATAGCCATAGCCATACGGTCCGGTGAGTGTTCCAAATGTTAGCACTCCAAAGAACACTCAGCAATTAGGCAAGCTTTTTTTTATTCTTTCATGGATGAGTACAAGAAAGGCAGCATTTGTTGTTCAGTGCTAACTGCTCGAGAGGGTGGCGAGCTGCCTTCTAAAAGAATTGCAGTTAACCTAGTAAAGGTGCAGTACGGGTGAACCAGTGCACTAACTGTGTGAGCTGCAACTCATGATGAAGGGTGCTACCGTTATGCCCAAGTGTCGGAAACTACAGGACCTGCTTGGCCCAGTGTGATCAAGGAATACCAGTTCCAGGCCTAGCCAGAAGAGTCTCTTGCAGCTAGCAGGATATAGTTTTATTGAATGTTAGCAACCAGTTTTAAGTCACATTGATATGTAGTTCTGAAGAAGGGTCTCCCCATTCCTGAGATGTTCACTCTGTTTCTCTCTCCACAGCTGCTGCCAGACCTGCTGAGGTTTTCTAGCAATTTCTGTTTTTGTTTGATATTGTAGACATTGTAACAGGGGCTTCGAGAAAGACCCTCATTTAAAGTTTCTACACTTCTTGGCCTACAAGTCCAGATCGCATCATCATAGTATACAGTGACTAAGGCACTCTTCATTGTTAACTTTTCCAGGCCTGAGTACAACAAACACTGCTGCTCTTGGAAGGTACTTCCAGGGTCTTGACCCAAAGATGAAGGAACGATGGTATAGTTCCACGTTAGGATGCCATGTGGTCTGGAGGGGAACTTACAGGAGATGATATTCCCTCACATTTGTCGCCCTTATCCTATGTGGTAAGGATCGCAGGTTTGAAAGATACTATTCAAGGATACCTGGTGGGATGTTGTAGTGCAACTTGTACATAGTATACATTCCTAGCAATCTGCATTAGCAGCGCAGGAAGAAATACTGAGGGTTGATGTATCAGGTGGTGATCAAGCAGGTTGCTTTGCCCTGGTTCAGCTTCTCAAGTGTCACTAGAGGCAGACCTATTTAGGCAAGCAGAGAACATATACAACATAGAACAATACAGCACACGAACAGGCTCTTTGGCCCATGATGACTGCACTGAACAGGATGCTGTTCTAAATTAATCCACCTGCTAGCACGTGGTCTGCATTACTCGATTCCCTGCCTGTTCACGAGCGTGTTTAAATGCCTCTTAAATGCTACTATTGCATCTGCTTCTACATGCTTCTACTGCTTCTGTCATGTTTTAGACACCCAACACCCTGTGTAAAAAAGTTACCTTGTGCATCTCTTTTCAACTTTCCCCTTCTCTATTTAAACCTATTCGCCTTAAAGACATTGACTATCCACCCTATCCAGGCCTCTGATAATCTCATACCCTTCTATTAGGTCATCCCTTAGCCTCCAACATTCCATTTCATTCCTGATTTGCGCTTGATAGATGGGAACAAGATCTGACAAGTTAGGAGTTTTTCTACTTGCTGCAGATTTCTCCAGCCTCAAACCTGCGCTTGCATTTTTTTGTTTGTTCTAGTTAAGTTTCTGGCCAATGGTAAGCCTCCTCAGTACACTGATGGCGAGGGATTCAGAAATGTGACGCTATTTATGTGGATAGGAAAAGGTCAGATTCTCTCTGGTTGGAGATGGTCATTGCCAGGCACTTGTGTGGTACAAATTACTTGCCATTTATCAGCTCAAACCTGACCATTGTCCAAGTTTCGCTGCATTTGGACATGCAGTGCTTCATCATCTCAGGAGCCGTGAAAGGTGCTGAAGATTGTGCAATCATTCGCATACGTACCATTTCTGACGTTATCATAGACAGAAGGTCATTGATGAAACAACTGATGATGATCGGGCCTAGGACAGACGTTTGGCCTCCAGCAACTCTAAACATTTTCTTTTCTGATGGGTACAACTCTAATTAGTGGAGCATCTTTCCACATTTCCATAAATTTCACTTTTGCCAAGTCTCCTTGATGCAACACTCAGTCAAATACTGCGGTGAGGTCAAGAACAATCTCTCTCACCTCACTTTCAATGTGGCCCAAGAGAGCAAAGCAACACAACAGAAATGTCTGATAAAAGCATTAAAATAACACCTCATACATTTAAGTTCTAATACTTGGAACATAAAGTTTATTCACTATTGTCTATTATATGTCTAAGTTTTCGATAAATATTTGTTCAAAACACATTTCATATCTGTTCTTCATTAGGAAGATCCTTATGAATTTCTCCAACTGTTAACACCAGTAATGTCTAAGGTTTCCTATGAGATTGCAATTTTAAATAATTACTTGTGCTCTCATGGGGTGGCAGAGAATTTCAGTTGCCAAAGGCACTACTGCTGATAATTACAATGCCTGCATCTAATACCATCACAAAATACTGTTAGAACCTTTGATCTATACTAATGTATAAATTTATTATTGCAATGATTTTATTTATGCAGTAAAACTGCAAGCATTTTAACTTATGGTGCATATAGCCATAGTGGTTTACTATACAGAAAGCAGTCATTCCTTCAAAAGGAAGGAATGCCTTTCCTACAACAATCCAAAATTGATCACAATGACCCATTTTCTCCCTATAGCTCTACATTTTTCAACTCTTCAACTACTTCTCTGCCATTTTTCTTTGATATGAAACGGCCCCTGCCTCAACCACTCCCATGTAAAGCATTCCATGCTCCATCACGAATGCCTAAGAACTATTCCCCTCACTTGCCTTTTAACAATTTTAATTGATGCTCCCTTATCAGTAACTCAGCAAATAGAGCTGAACCTATACCCAATAATACCCAATAATAATAGCAAAATACGGCAGATGTTGGAGATCCAAAATTTAAAAAAAGTTAGGAATGTTTAGGACCAGACTTGCTATCTGTGGAGAGAGAAACAGAGATAACATTTCATGCCAACGACCCTTCAAAAATTTTCTCATCCTGCAGTCGCACGTCGAACAGCAGTATAATTATTATGTTAGTGGACTAGCAATCTTAAAGAATTAACGATCCATAGATGTGACCTCAACAAAGCAATTGTGGAATTTAAATTTAATTAATTAATTAAGCAAATCTGGAATAAAAATTAGTAAGTGACCATTAAAATACTGGATTGGCGTTTTTAAAAAAAAATTCTGGTTCATTCGTGTCCTTACCTGGTCTGGATCTCAATGCTCTCTCTGCTTGACAAGGCACTCCATTGCATTAAATTACATTAAAAAAAGTATATGACTTAACATTTACTTACACCATAAAAACTGCACTGGTTCAAGAAGGGAGCTCACCACCACTTTCTCAGAAGCAATTCAGAATCAGTAACGTATGTTGAGCAGTCTAGTGACGCAATGGTGGCGTCTTTACCCAGGCCGTTGTTCAAGACCCACTTCAGGACTTGATGGCTGTAGAATGCACATTAATAACACAGCCAAAAATGTTGACTGCGTATGACAGGTAGTAAGCATGAAAGAGCCTCCAGGCCAGCTATGCATGATGTAAAGTGGAGACCCTCAAGCTACACCCTTTGGCAACAGGTTAGCTAACTCTTCCAAGAAAAATTAGCCATGAAAAGAATCAAGTACATGCTTATTCTGATTCATGTGTCACAGATGCAGAAGAGTCTTTCAAATGTGATAAATGCTGGCCTTGTCACTGTCTCCCATTTTCCATTAAAAGGTCGTCAACATAGCTTCTTGGATTTCTGACACCTACCATTAGTACTCTCCATTGGACAAATCCTGAATGATCATGCCTGCAAGATCTGGAGACTGCAGCAGCCAATGCACATTGTGCATTTCTCCAACACATAAAAATGACATGTTCTACTGAACCCAAAAAAAAGCATCATTACGTAAAGCTGAACTCACCAGCGCAATGCTATTTTGATAGGTGTAGTAAGGCAGGAAGTGAAAAGATCTGCTGGTAAATCCGGATTCATGGGCAGAAGTTCAGTGGCCTCACAGGCAGCCAGCTGGATACAGTTCTTCATTGATGGTGGCAAAGGCATCTGTGCAAGTGGATGATTTGGATTGATAGCTGCAACCTGAAAAATTAAGACCATTGCTTAAAACTCTTGCAGAAGAAATAAATAGAACTGAATGGTTTTACCAAGATCTTCCATTGTAAAATTGACAAGAAGAGCGTTTTTAATGATCGAAGTATCATTTCAGTTTGATTCACTAATCACAGAAGATAATAATCACAAATATCATTTTCAAACAATGTATTAATCTAACATTAAAAGGCAATGGCAAGGAGTCATTTTCACAGAGGTACATTTATCATGCAATACACAATTAGCTATGAGCACTAATGGGAAGTAGAGAGATTATATACTACAGATACCGGTGCTTCAGTTAATTTAGAAAACCTTGAAAATACCAAAAGTGGGAGTCAACCTGTATGCCCAGTATAAAAAGGCACTATTTGCACAGCTGCAGGTGGTCACCATCTTTGTCATTCACCATGTTGGGTAAAATATTCATTTATGGAGTGAAAACTTGAGGCTGACCACTAATGAAGTTAGATACGCATTCTGGCTGAAAAGGGGGCATTGGATTGTACAGAGGGTAAAAAGCATGACTGTGTGATATAAAGAAGCCATCTTGTATGCCAGATTGACTTGTAGCAAGGATCTCTGGTAATTTTCAACATTAGTTAAAGTAACTTTCCACTGCTTGTATTAAGTTAGTTGGTCAGAAACATTGGTATAGATATTAGAGCAACATGGTTCTTTATTCAGTATTCACAGAGAGCTTCTTATCCAAGTGTCTGAAGAATTCATTTATTTCCTCCTTTTTCTCAGGATATTGCTAGGTTCTAAAGGTGTCATCGGTCTTTCAGTACTTCACTTACCTGACCATTCTTCATTGTAAAACCTAGGTAGGATTGAAAAGCTCCCTCAGGCATGAGAGTTATCAGAGCCAAGTGTGATCCTACCCTTCACAAACAGCCATGCATCATTTTCTAACAGGCATTAGCAGGCAACAATCAAGAGTCACACGCTTGCTGGCTTGAAAATTGCACTTGTCTTTGGCTTACAGGGTGTATCTCGAAAACACTTTCAGCTACACAACTAAAATAGTAACTATATCAGTACTACTAAAGTATGTAATGCCGAAAGAAAATAATTCATTTTCTGAAACATCACCTGCAAGAGAAGTTGAGAGGAAGAAAGGCCAGACAATGTGACTATAAGAAAATTGCAAAGCAAAACCAGTCAAATGTAATGATACAAACCATTTCAAGAAAACTTACGCTGTATTAACCAGGTCAAAATCACAACAGTTATTGTTACGCAAAACAATTTACCACCAACTGTTTATGGGACAAAGTCTACATACATCGATTTAAAAAAGTGATGATTACACACATCACTATGAACAGAATTCACGACCAAACCTACATACATGCAAGTGGTTAGGACATAGAACATTTAAGAGCTTCTTCTACAAACTGACAAGTACAGTTCAGCCTTACTTATGTTGCGAAATGTTATAGTACGACTGCACATGCTGGAAAGAAAGACAGTGAGAGAATCACTGTGGTATCTAACTTCTGACAGCACAATGATGCTCAGGAAACCACTGAGGTCAGCGTGCGATCTTTATTTTGTGACATTAGCATTTTTTGAAATCCAGTTCCATAAATAGTCAGAAACAGAAGTGAGCAACTTAATTTGAGATTGAGCTTGACAGGCCGTTTACCTCTGATGGCTTTTTTTGAATTTCATATAAATGATTCAGTAAAAAGTTACCCTCTGCCCTACTGTCTAATCTGCTCTGATGCAGGCACAGGGATGTTCAATGTCCTTAGGACTATATATCAATTAGTCAGTGTTCAACACAGATATGAAGCAGTGCAGTGCATCAAAGTTCCCAGATATCAACATTTTAACTGCGAATCAGAAAAGATCCCAAAACAATATACCCCTAAAATGATAAATGCATTTATAGCTCAAAACGTGATGTATATTTACAGATCAGGCACCAAACTGCTTAACCCGATTTATGTATTGTTCATACATTTACTACCCAACTTTTTCAGTAAAAGAAAAAAGTAACAAACATAAAGGTCATTCATGCATCACCTGCTAATGTAATGGTGCCTTTGATTTTAAAATTCTCATCTTTGTCTTCACATCTTCCAATGGTATCACTATATCTGGAATCCCTGCCAACCCCACAGCCTTCAGATATCTATGTTCGTCTCCGGTCTCTTGAGTATTCCTAATTTTATTTGCTCCATCACTGGTAGCCATGCCCTCAAGATGACTGAGCCTTAGCTCTGAAATTTCATCTCTAGACCTCCCCAACCTCTTACTCCTCCTTTAAGATGCTCCGTAAAAACTACCACAGGCCTCTGGTCATCTTTGCCAAAATCTTTCCTGTGTAGCTTTCTGTCAAAGTGCACTGTGCCGTGTAAAGCTCTTGTGAAACACCTTGCTTTATATTACAGGTGCTGCAAGTTGTTGTCATAACACCTTTCCTATTTGATCTTGATATAATGCCTGCAACTTTAGACCAGAAAGAATTTTGCAGTATTTTGTATTCTCATCGCACATACAAGGCAAAAAAAAAGTCACAGTCACACTTGCAATTTGGATTATTCATTGTTATAATTGGCATTAAGACATCTTTAAGTTTTAAACCACTAACTTGATGCATATTTGCATTGCTGGTATACCCCACTGTCAATTGTGCATTGCTGCCTTAGAGCTTACAAAATTTTGCAAAAGGGAGCTTTTTTACCCCTCGATGCCTCCGAGTCCTTTAACCTCCCCAATGGCCAGTTAAATAAAACTGGACTTGGTGGGATTAAAGAAAGACATTCATTTGCATAATGCCTGTCACAACCTCAGCAAGTTACAAAGTTCCTCAGAGCCAATTTTTTTTTAAAATTTTAAGAGTAGCCACTATTGCAACCTGGGAAATACGGAAGTTAAATTGTACACAGCAATCTCCTAGATACAGTAAAAATAAATGAGCAAATCTTGTGATGTCTGACAGATAAATGTTGCTTAAGACATGGTGAGCTTGCATCTGGCCTTTTCTAAATAATGTCAGAGAATAACTTATATCCACCTGTCGAGGCAATCAGGGTCTTGAATAAATTTCACATCAGAGAAGTGCAACATCTGAATGCCCTTCAATATTGCAGAGAAGTGCCAGACTGAACTGGTGCTTGAAACCTGAGCTTTTTCACCCAGAGTGCTACTATTAAATCACAGTTAACTCCACATTAATACATTCATATTGAACCATTAATTGCAGAAAAAAACCTTGGTATATATCTGTAATATAGATAGGAAGACAATGCAGAGAATTCATTGTAAAGTAAATATGGTATTGCAATGTTCTCTATTTCATTGATCTTACCATATTTTCTTGCAATGTTTATTTAGCTAAAACACAGATGTGTTTTTGCTGTCACTGGACCGTGGAATCCTACTGTGCACTCTGTACCCATAGCAAACAAGCTGATATTTCCTACGCAAGGCAAATAGTAATGAAGAAATAAGTTTACTTAATTGGGCAGACCTTACTGCACTCTACAGAGCCAAGTTGTGGCTCTTCAGCTTCACAGGCAATTCTGGAAGCTAGCAGAGGTATCAGGCTTTGAAGAAGAATCCATTTTTTCTGCATTTTATTTACAGAAAAATATTCTATGAAATATTCATTGTTTCAGCCACTTCTCAGTGGAAATCATGAGGACTCCTGTTGAACCAAACACACAATGAATGAATATTGATCAAATACATTCTGTTTCCAGACAGGAACAGCTGCTTAATATGAGACTACTGAAATAATATAATTCCAGTGGTGGATCAAACCTGTATGCGAAAGGAAAGGCCCTTTATGTATTGGGTTTCAAACAGAATGGAAAATCAATATTATTAAAATACAGACTTTTAGTACAAATACATGGGTCCACAACAAAATGCAATCAGGCCTTCCAAATTCATCCCTAAACTTTCTATCTAAATTTCTCCCATCTTTGTATCTAGTTAGAAGTATGATTTGTGTTTTCCCTATTTGTGGTTTTCCATGAGATAGGTTAGCTTAACTTAACCATATATACCAAGTGTTGAACTTGTAATATTGTAATCTGATTTCCCATCTAATTGGTCAAAAGGGCACTCTCTTACCTATTGGGTAAGGATTGTGTAGCAGAACTGATTGACATGTATTCTTGATGTTGGCTGTACGCCATGTAAAAAGTTTAAGGAACTTCATGAATAATTTATCATCTAGGATTCACACCTAGAGCACCAAAAGAAAATCTGACTTATCCAAAACTTACTGTGGTAAGTTTGAATCAAATCTCTGTTCAATTTACAACAAAACAGATTTCAAAACCCTGGGGAATAGCAATTACAGCCAATGAAGTAAATTTGAACTATTTGACCAATAAACGTTTTTCAGCTGGTGCTCTGAACTCCTCTTCATTGAATTATTTCGTCCAAGTGCAGAGTAAAAACAACTTAAGAGTCTCATGCAAAAGATGACACCTCTAATAGTACAGTGCCCCTCACTGTTGCACTTAACTACCAGCTTAAGATTTAAGCAATGCTCAGCATCTTAATTATTAAAGCCCATTATTTCTACTGCAACTCATTTGCAGGCAATACTAATTCCTTATTTTCACTGCACAGTACAGAACAGATTTCAATTACATTATCCATATCAACCTAACACAGCAGAGAGAGACAACTTGCATTTGTCACGTCTGTTACACAACCTCATGGGTTCTAAACGCCTTTCCAGCAAATGAAAAACTATTGAAAATAGCTCAGAGTGCAAATAATAGCTTAACAAGAGTGCCAATTAAACTTAAAATTCAAAACTCTACTTTGCTCATGAAAATCATACAATTTTGGGAGAAGCACTTACAATGAGTTTAGTTAAGCTTTTAATGAAAGAAATATAATGTATTAATTAAATATGCCCTATTTCCTAATGAATGAGAATTTGTTTCTTTTTTAGCTTCCAGGGTCAGTAATATTAATAATGAACGAAACCATAATGAAGTGATAAGGATTTTTTTTTGTGGGGGGCGTGCGGGGGGGGCTGTGTGTAGGGGTGTTGGGGTGTAGAGAGGGTGTACCTCAAACTTTATAAAAACTATCAGCTTATCTCCCATCATCTTAATATGATAGCTTTGTTTCTTTAAGAATCATCGGGTTTTTTTGAAAAAAAGCAACATTATACAAAAGGGAGAATCTGCTAGCACAAACTCATTCACAGAAAACAATATCAGTGATGATGGGGGTAGAGGGTCAGGTGGGAAAAATGAGGAGACTTGTGTGAAGAATAGTTACTGATCCACTGCAAATGATCTCAAAGAAAAATAAAATTGTAAGATCACTGAAGCATTGAATTCATGACCACCTTTAATAATTAGCTCCCTTGAGTTTTGGGACAATCTCAATCATCTCAAACACTAATTCTATAAAAAATAGTTATACCTTTCCAACAGCTTTAGATAGAGCTATGATGGTTAGGAGTTCCTCAAAGGACCTTCTACCTTCTCCTTTAAGAGTTCCTTTCAACCCATCTCTTACAGCAGTCTGATTAACTGGTGTTAATCAGCACAGTAAAGAAACACAAAGCACAAAGGAATGCAACAGCATAAATAAAATCAGCATTCCTCCTCCCCTAGAGTAGCAGCTAGAAGTACAAATGCTATTTCCCATACAAACACTCGAAATATGCCAAAGATCTTGTATTCATGTGGCACAATCTTAACGTCAAACTTAAACTAAGCTAATACAATCAATCTGCCTGTAATTAAAAATAACTCATGAAAGGTAGTATCCATGTTAAGATGAAAAGAACCAATCACTGTTATATTTTAGATCCAGAGTTGATGAAGTTGTTTCTGCCTCTCAAATCTGTATCCATCATCGAAAGGAGCTGATGCAATCTGTCTAATCAGTTGTGTATCTCTGCTACTATACCCAAATACTTGCAATCACAGTCACAATAAGTATGTGCACTTTGTCACATTTAACACAAGTCAACCATATTAGTCTCCTCTGATTTTTTTTTGCATTGACCAGCTCACTGCAACCACCTTCACTGGGTTTGACCTACCCAAGTGTAACTAGAACATTGCAACAGCTTCCTTTCCTACCGCAGCATTGTTGTTTCTGGACTACCCGCTAAGGTTGCATCTAGGTCATCCCCTTTTCTCATCTGCTGACATGGGATCAAATTCCACATGTAGACTTGTTAACCTCCATTGTATCACCCGTGTTTTCACATTTAAACAACTTTATCACTAAACATAACTTCTCCAGACTAGCCTCTTGTATTCCACGCTCAGTTTAAATTTAAACTCACCCAAAGGAACCTTACCCACACTGACTCTGGTTAAGCCCTCAACCATGCACACTTAACTACACTAACTATAGGTCTGGAAATTCTTTGATCTTAAATTCTCACCCTGAAGTCTAAATCTATGTACCTGACCTCCAAATTAATGCAAGCTCCAACACTGATGCAAGTGAACATGAGCAAAAAAAACTAGGAAGATAATTTGTACAAATTAATTTTAATCAAAAACTCAAAAGCTCATAAATGCTAAAACAGTGGAGCACAATAGTTCTCAAATACCGCTCACGCTACGTAATAGGAAGCATAAAACTACCAACACATACTATAATAGGGTGATGTGACCATGTAATACCGATTCTTACACATCATTCTAACCCAATTCATGGACACCATGACTGAAAAGTAGTCCTTACACCACCTTATTTTTGGAACTGCCATGAAAAGTCAATAAAACATATTCATGAGAGATAGTAGGAACTGCCAATGCTGGAGAATCTGAGATAACAAGGTGTATGAACAGAGCAGGCCAAGCAGCATCAGAGGAGCAGGAAAGCTGACGTTTTGGGTCTGGACCCTTCTTCAGAAATATTTATGAGTTGTGTAAATTATGATCAGCTGTATTTTGGATTAATCATCTTAGTCTCTTGATAGCTTTCATGGAATTTAAGCAATGCTCAAAATATAACAAAAAAATCTGTTGTTCTTTGTATTTATCCTGGCTTCTAGCCTCAGATTCAATTTCTGAATTTGTTTTGATGTGGAAAAATGATATGAAAAATGAAAGCAAGTTTAAACATCTTGACAGATTCAACAAATGTCAATTGTAGCTCATGACTCAACAGTAAAGAATTGCATCAACTTTGTTGTTTATTATCAGTAAAATTACTACAATTCAAAACAATGGCACACAGGTGAGAATAAATTCTGACTTCATATTGCAATTTTCTTTCCACACGTTTGAAGTCAAAACAATTTTTTTCTCTTTTACAGTGAACAGAGCATATTGTACTTTTGTTGGATGACCATGAGAAAAGCATACATACCTCCAACTCCTGTTCCCTCTGCAATGCAAACTGCTTAAATGACTTCACTATGATTCCAGCATTCGAGCAGTCATACACAAATATTGAGGGGCTTCCCATCCAAGTCTGAAGATCATATATAGAAAGAGGAATATATTGGGTATAATTCTGTTGTGAAAAGAAAACAAAAATCACAATTAGATGCCATGTTTCTCTCCTATTTTAAACTTTGCAGCAAACGTATTTCAGTATTATCACAAGTTCTACTCTCATGACAAACGCAGAACTATTTTTACTGAATAAATGTGCCAGTACACCAGATAGGTGTAGTTAAATATAAAATCCTACCACACCCTGCTTTTAGCAAGAAAAATCAGAATGAATTTGAAAGCCTTTACATTTCAAAACCTCAACTATACAACTTAAGGTCAGCAAAATGGTAAAAGTTCATGGTAATCATAAAATTATTAATATTAAACAATTTTTAAGATAAAAGATGTGAAGGTTAATTATAACAGCTCATGCTTCTCAATTTTTTGATACTATTAATTCTCAGGATGAGGCAGTCATAACCAAGACCAGTACAATTGCCTGTTCCTAGTTACTACTTGAAGGTGGGGGCGGACCTCAAATAAACAGTGCAAGCACACATTATTCTTTGGAGTGATCTGAATACAACTAAGTGACCCGCTTGGTCATTTCTTAGGGCAGCGAGACATCACTTTGGTATGGGATTAGAGTCACATATAGATCAGAATAAAAGCAAAGGACTGTGGATACTGGAAGATCAGAAATAAAAACAGAAAATGCTGGAGAAACTCAGCTGACAGCATTCCTGGAGAATGTAACAAAGTTAACATTTTGAGTCCTAATACAACTTTTCTACAGAATACTCCGAAATTGGAATATAAAATCTCTGTTTGGAAGAAAGGTCATTGGATTTGAAACATTTCCTCTGCTTCTCTCTGCAAATTCTACCAGACCTCCTCAGTTTCTCCGACGTTTTGCTTGTATTTCACAGATTGGAGACAGAAATAAGGTTTCTGCCCCTGAATTATTTTAAGGAACCAACTGAATGTTTACAGAGTTCCATAGACCCTTTTACTGACATTAGCTTTCTCTTAAACTTAACTTAATCTACAGCATTGGTAGAATTTAACTTTGTGCACTTTGGGTGTGCCATGAAAATGGATTTTTATGGTACCTGCATTGGAACTCAAGTCATTTTGCATTGACTCTGGTACACAAATTCAGTCACACCTTAGCCATCCAAATAATATCGAAAGAACACATTTTACTGAGCTCACCTAAAAATATGAAAGCTGAACAGAATCCAATTTTGTACATTGCTAGCTACTTATTTCCCTACATCTGTGCAATAATAGATATTACTGTATTAATCCATATTAGCATAATGATAGTTTCAGAATCATAACATTAACTGGGCTCAAACAGAAACTGCTATTAGTTTACAGGTTACACTACATGCTTGACAAAAGTAACCTTGAAAAGCTTTTGCAGCAACCTAATATAGCAAAAGTTAACCATGGAATCAATTTTGCCAAAGCTTTCCCTTTAAAATTAAAAATACAAGATGATCAAAAGAGAACATATTGTGCTATAGTAAGGAACCAAGAAAGATTGGACAGTGGATTGCCTAATAACGCAGAAGAAAATAAAAGCAGAGTGGGATTGACTGGATTTCTCTGGGGAAGCTAGCATTCACTCAAATGGGCAAAACAGTCTCCTCCTGTGCCATAAATGACACTATGATGAGCAAGAAGTTTTTTTTATGATCTCAGCGAAGACAAATAGATTTTAAAAATAAATATGTAATTCCAATTAATTGCTAGAAGAATAACAAGGCTTTATGCTTCAAACATTTATTGTAACCAAGATTTATAATTCGATTAACTAAGCACTTTTTTGCTGATTTATGTGGAATACTCCTTTTTTTAATGTTAGCACAACCAAAAATACTTCAGTTATATATTACACTGTTCTTTAGAAGGCATTCCATTCTCTTGAAATCACTCCAAAGTAATTCTTAGTTCCTGAGGCCTTTCTTCCCGTCATTTGCTTTCCCAGCCTGGAAACTTAATTCCACAGTCTTTCACGCCATGGGTTTTTCTGGAGAATTCTTCCTCTGGGTAAAGACCCCCATGACGAGTAAACTATTATGTCTAACTGTTATCTCTTTCTCACTCTCAGAAACTGGCAGACCATTTGATAGCTTTCGGGGATAGCTTCAAAATCTTTTCCCTCCTGAAACCAAGTGCTTGGCAATGCTATTCACATGAGCCTTATGTCTAAGTAGAAATGTAGATTAGTAATTCTTTAGAGCCCAGCTCTCTTGCATCTTAAAATAAATAGGCAGTTTCAAAAATTGACTGTTTATAGCCTGATATTTTTCAACATGTTTCTTGGACATTCAGAGTAACTGCTGTTATTAAACAGTTTGTTGCCATTGTTTCCAACAATGAGTATTCTGTACCTTTTTCCTCGTAAAACAACATGGGCTCCCTGTAATCTCTAACAATCAAACATTTGGACTAGCTGCCAGCCTAACATCATAAACACACCACCTTGATTTGAACTTAAATTACAGGCAGTGTCAAAATATATCAAAGCTTATATCACTGTAACACATCTTAGTATTTGCAACTTTAAAACCCAGCCAGGTAGCCTTCACAAAATATTCTGCTCAGTATTTATTTAAATGAAGCATCTGCAGAAAATCAGTAAAGACAATGAGTGTCTGCCTTGATAAGTCACTGTAAGACATAAGCAGCATTTATGCATTTCCTGTATTTAAAAGGCAGAAAAAGAAGTTAAGCAAACAATACAAAACTGTAATGCTCCAACTATGCAAAAACAATCTCTTTCAAAAACACACCCATTCTGGGTTTTTTAGAAAGTCAGGTCAGCTGTATTAGCCTAGCAGCATCCCTGAAAGATTAAATTTAAAGTTACAAGATGGAAAATTTGTCGATCTTTAGACCTCAGATTATTCAAATATTACCATAAGCCATGTATGTACATTTGCATTTATTGCCATTCTGCCAAAGTGTAAAATATCCAGTGAATGCTCTATTGTATAACCTCATGACATGAGATTACCCCAGTTTATTTGGCATTTTTATAATGGCTCTTAGTTCATCAGAACTTAGTTACTATCACCAAAATGTTGTATAAAACTTTAAAAACTTGGTCCTATTTTTGTAACATAAAATAGACTACATTTCAGCTTAAATATCTATCTTGACAATACATTCAATCTAAATTCTAGCTATACAGATGGCCAAATTTCAGAAAACTGTACCTTTTTCAGATCAGAACAGCTTTACTGTTTCGATAAACATACTTTTATAGCTTCAGGATTTATCCAATAAGCCTCTCTTATACGTCAGAATAGCTTGATCATTGGAAAGAGATATTAACTGGATAAGTTTGGAATAATATTTGTCCAAAAATTCAAAAGTTGGAGATAAAATCGCTGAACACCAAAACGTCCGATAAGACGTTCAGGTCAAACGCAAAATCTGCACATCAGCTTGGCTGACTTAGCCCTGATATTTAGAAACACGTGCAGTCAAAAACACAGAAAATAATTTAAATCCAAACTCTGCAAATTTTAAGCTTTACAAAAGCCTTACTTGAAAGATATAATTGTACTGTTCGAAGTAAGTTAATTATTCTAATTATCTTCAAGTTAAACATGCAGCCGGGTCAATTAAAATTCTCCGTAGTAGCATGCACACTAGAATTCCAAAAACCTATTATGTTCATAGTTAGACCCACATGATCTCAATATCAGATTAAACCCACTCCAAATAGCAAATAACTTCCAAAATCTCATTAATCACATTCCTTCCCAACCTCTCATTCAATATAATTTATCCTGCAAGTTACAGTATATTCTCCAACAAACCAGTCTCTCCAAAGATGCTTTCTTTATAGCAACCTATAATGAAGCAATGTCATGTATTTATTTCTCCATTCAATACATTATGCTGTAACAGTAGGTGGGTAGATTAGCTCTCTCAGTCCTCAACTGATTACAGTATGAAAACAGTTCCAATTCAGTAATTTTCCTTCCTTCTATGGGATAATTTCTATTAACCCATCATTCCTAAAATTAGTTATTATATCAGCAGCAAAGAAAAGGCTTGCATGAATTCTGGTTGCAAAGTTTCGATAACTTTTATGATAGGGTTAGGGTAAGGTTTTAAAGTTACAAGTTTAAAGTATTCAAATTAAAAGTATTTGTCTATTGATACACCACATTGTATGAACAAAATGACCTTGAGATTGTGAGATGTTTCAAAGTTCTTTGATAAAGGTTACATTTTTTTTTGTTGATTTCTGAGCTATAAGCCAAACTAATCCTGTCCTGATTTGTGAAAATTAAAGCTGTAGGAAATGCTATCCTTAACATAAGCTATCAAGGGTACAGCGAAGGAGCTATCTGATCACAACATCAGATTAAAGCCACTCCAAACAGCAAATAATTTCCAGTTCAAAATCTCATTAATCACATTCCTTGCCAACCTTTCATTCAAAATAGTTTATCTTGCACGTTACAGTATATTCTCTAACAAACACCCAGAGTCTCCTCAACGATTCTTTCTTTACAGCAACCTATATGAAGCAATGTCATCACGCACAGCGACCAGTTCGCTGATTTTTCATCCCATAGGCTGAAGCTGTTGCTTTTGCATCAACTTGTTCCCAAGACAAAATGAAACAAATATTTAAAAACAGAAATGTGGGGAACTGCAAAGAGAGTACATATCTAACCATTATATTTGCAAATATCAAGCAAAATACTGCTGACACTATAACTTGCAACAGGAATGAAATAATGCTCTAAGCATTTAGTAGGTTATTGCAGCATCTGTGGAAGGAAACAGTTTATGATCTTCAATCTGTTCTGATGAAACGGATTTTTACAAATCCAAAGTGTAACCAAGTCCTCAAAATATTATTTGCTGATTATACATTACAGCACATGGTTAGACAGATGGAAACAGTACCACTCTAATGCAATTTGCACATCTTACAAAAAATTGCTTTACTCTTTTAAATAATTCTGACTTACTCCATACAGTATCATGTGTCACTGACTTCATAGCCACGCAAGTTTCAAGAAATAAAAAATTCCATTTAACTTCATAATTGGTTCATTCAAATTTCATAGCTGGTATCGCTGATGACTGGCTACACCCATCCAGCCTGAGGGCCCTTGGAATGCAATGGCAGGGTCCTTACACAGGAGAGGCAATGGCCTAGTGGTATTACCCTAGTGTTAATCCAGAGACCCAGGTATTGTTCTGAGGACCCGGGTTTGAATCCTGCTACAGCAGATGGTGGAATTTGAATTCAATAAATATCTGGAATTAAGAGTCTAACGATGACTGTGAATCCATTACCGATTATTGGAAAAACCCATCGGGCTCACTAATGCCCTTTAGCGAAGGAAACTGCCATCCTTACTTGGTCTGGCCTACATGTGACTCCAGACGCACAGCAAAGTCGTTGACTCATAACTGCCCTCTGGGCAACTAGAGATGGGCAATAAATGCTGGTCTAGCCAGCAACGCCCTCATCTAGTGAATGAAAAAAAACCTCTGAGCCAGAAGGCCTGGGTTCAAGTACCATCTGCTCCTAAGGTGCATCATAACATCCCTGAACAGGTTGATTAGAAAATTTCTACCCTTCCAGCCTATAGCTGCCTGGCTTTGACAGTCAACTTTTCTGTGGTAACACTTGGAAGCATCATTCACCTTCTAAATACTATTTCTATATATCAATTATGGATAATTAAAAGACATACAAAACATACTCCTAGATATAACAGTCCCACATCTGCTAATTTCAAGAAGAAATGCAATAGAAATGTAAGGATTTAATCCTTGATATGGGGTGGCACCATGGCACAGAGGTTAGCACTGCTGCCTCACAGCGCCAAGGCCCTGGGTTCAATTCCACCCTCGGGTGACTGCAGTCTGCACATTCTCCCCATGCCTGCATGGGTTTCTTCCAGATGCTCCAGTTTCCTCCCAGAGTCCAAAGATATGCAGATTAGGTGGATTGGCCGTGTTAAATTGCCCATAGTGTCTAGGAATGTGCAGGCTAGGTGGATTAGATTCATAGAGATGTACAGCAAGGAAACAGAGGGTCCAACTCGTTCATGCCTACCAGATATTTGAAGTTAATCTCGTCCTATTTGCCAGCATTTGGCCCATATCCCTCCAAACTCTTCTTATTCATATACCCAATTACTCCCACTGGAATGTGCTCATCCCAGGTTCTTGTTCTGGTAGGTCAGAAGTTGAAATCTTTCTAACAACTGAGTATCTGACTGCCTTCTTGGCTGGGTTGAGACTCAGCAACTGACTCATTCCTGACTTTACAATGAAAAGATGCTGACTTTATGTAGGAGCTTATTTGTGTATCGATACCTTCTTTTGGTCACATACACTAATCTTAAAATTAAATTCAGCATTCTGACACAATTGGACTGATGTTGGGAGAGTTTTGAGGTACACATTGCTGGGACAAACATTGCTGGGACAAACATTGCTGGGACAAAC